CAAAGACAGAGTGGGGAACAGAACAGGCAGCCTGACTGAAATACACTGCTGAGGGGAGCAGCGGGCGAGACAGGAGAGGTCTGCTGCGCCATGTGGTTCATCTCCTTGGCCGGGGATCAAATTCATGCTGCAGTGGCTGGCGATAGCTTGATAGCACTGAGACTTTAATCTCGGCACCACTTAGGGAGGCCCTATTTTGCAGTTCTTTTTAAATTACAGGTAACTAGTGAGTATTGTCAGAGACAAAAACTATTAAGATTTTTTTTTCAGGCTATTGCTACAGGAAGATCATCCAGATCCATAGGTTAGAGTCCCTTAGCTGTGTAGATTTGCCTTGGACATTTTTGCAGAAGTAGACAAGTTATAGATGGAATAATGTTTTACAGTTGGGGATCTAGAAGGCGGAGAGGGCCTCCTGCAGGGCTCACAAGTCCCAGCCCTTTCTTCAGGACTTCCTTGCAGCTTTCCTTATCATTAAGGACCTGTTAATTAAAACTGCTAAAAGGAGGCATTTGTAAACTTAAATTCACACATTCAAATATGGAATCCAGCTAAGATCCTGAGGCTTCTGGGAAAGTCACAAAGCTCCTGCCTGCCAGCAGACAGGGGGGCTATTGGAACTCTCTCAGTTCCCAGGAATTTTTGTTATCAGTGCATCAGCTGCATTAATCTGAAGTGGCTGAGTTGGGACTCATACCTCTCAAATAATACGTCCTATCTTTGTTTCATAATCATCTATTTTGTGTCACATGCATTGATTGATTCCCCCTTCATGGTGTTGTGATGCACATTTGCATCAAAAGTAGTTTTCTTTTGTGGTTCAGGTATCTCTATTTATTGTTAAAGCGGATGCACACACATTCCCCTAAAGTCTGCTTATGTAGATTTTAGACACCACATTGATGTAGACACCACATTTATGTAGACACCACATTGGTGATGTACTTTCAAAGAGTATAAGCTAGTTAAATAGCTTGCAACATGATGTCAAGACAAGTGTAATAAAAATATTTTAGAGAGTATAGAGCATTGTTTTAAAATTCAAAAGACGTGTGAACACATATTCTTGTGTAGTATGTAGTAAGCAAATCTTCACGCAATTCTAGCAGAAAGTTTGCTGCAACTTCTAATTTTGTTCCTTTTCAAATCTGTGTCATCACTAGTTCTTTTTTCTTTTTTCAAAGATTTATTTATTTTATTATTTTTTAAAGATTTATTTATTTATTATTTATACAAGCACTGGGTACAGTCAGAAGTGTGAGAGGGTGAGAGAATTCACCAGAGCCAGAGTGGGGAGCAGAACAGGCAGAAGGACCGAAGTACACTGCTGAGGGGAGCAGCAGGCACTGCAGGAGAGGTCTGCGCGCCATGTGGGACCCTCTCCGGTGGCTGGGGATCGAACCGGCACTGCAGAGGCTGCGGGCAGCTTCGCAGCCCAGTGCTCAACCGCTGCACCACCGGGGAGGCCCACACTAGTTTTTTTTTTAAGTGAGGCAGTATGCAAGGGTGAGTAAAATAGATTCTGTGACCAAAACCACTTGAAAGATACTGTTTTAAACTTTTTGAGTGAATTATAAATGCTTACCCTTACAATCCTTATACACTACACAATAGGAACAAAGTAAATAGTTTCTCACCATACTCATCCTAGCCACCCAGATCTACCTCTATAATTGTAGTGTTTGTCTATCTTGTTTCATCCTAACCTCCCCTTATGAACACAAGAGTATGATAATCCAGTGCACAGCTCATCATTACCTCATCATTCCTCTCCTGGAACGAATGTCTGTTTCTCAAAGATCCTTTCCTGGCACATCCTGTTAATCTCTGTGTTATTCTCTGTCCTATTAGCCTGTTTCTCTTCTTCAGGACAATTATCAGTATCATCTTGTCTAGTTTGTTACTTTAGAACATCAGTCTCCTGTCGTATTCATTGCCATATTCCCAACACTGAGAAAACATGTCCAGTACTTAGGAAAAATTGGAAGATGAATCAGTGAATGCTTCATTCAGAGGCAGAAGCTCTCATTTAAGCATGGTGGCATACTGACTAGTAGGGGTTATCAGCTACCTGAACCCTGAATTTCCATCTTCAGTGGCAGCAAGTGAAACACAGCTGCTGCTGTTTATTATGCTCCCCTCAACCTCCTCTACCCCCATGGGAAAATGTGCCAGAGTCTAGGAAATACTCATCTTAGGTATAATGTCTGAATTCTTGTTTCTTCTTCTTTTTTTTTTTTTTTTTTTTTAAACATTTATTTATTTATTTATACAAGCACTGGGCACAGTCAGAAGCGCGGGAGGGCGAGAGAATTCACCAGAGCCAGAGCGGGGAACAGAACAGGCAGACCGAGGATACACTGCTGAGGGGAGCAGCGGATGCGGCAGGAGAGTTCTGCGGGCCATGTGGGATCCTTGCAGTGGCCGGGGATCGAACCAGCGCTGCAGAGGCTGCGTGGGCAGCTTCGCAGCCCAGTGTTCAACCGCTGCGCCACTGGGGAGGCCCTGAATTCTTATTTCTTATCAAGGATCTCAGAGCTGGTCTGACTGGTGAGGGTTTCATATGGTTAGAGGTGGTGGAAATTAGGTCTGACCTGAAGCTTTGGGTGATATCAGAATCAGGGAATTTGTAGAGTGACGAATGAGTGGGAGCTGAGGACAGTGAGGCCCTGGTGAGTCATCCAGTGCTAGAAGAGGGCCAAGGTGAGACACTGATAAAAGTTAAATACATGGAGCCAGAAATCAGAGAGTTGGAGAGATGCAGAATGTGAGAATAAGCAGAAGGGAAGAGGTGGACAGAGAGTTTTGTGTGGTTATTTATTTTTTCTGATCATTTAGTAACTTTATTGCGATATAATTTGCATATCATAAAATCCACCACACAATTCAATGGACTTTTGTATATTTACAGTTATGCAATCACTACCAGCCTAATTTTAGGACATTTTTATCATCCCCTAAAAAATCCTGAATCCACTAGCAGTCATTCCTAATTCATCAGTCCCTTTCTCCACCAAGTGCTAAGCAACCACTTTCTGTCGCTATAGATTAGCATATTCTAGACATTTCACATAAGTGGGATTATATAATAAGTGGTCTTTTTTTTTAAGATTTATTTTAGTTATGCATACAAGAACTGGGGTACAGGCCAGAGGTGTGGGGGGGTGAGGGGATTCACCAGAGACAGAGTGGGGAAAAGAACAGGCAGATTGACTGAAGTACACTGCCGAGGGGAGCAGCGGGTGAGTCAGGAGAGGTCTGCTGCGCCATGTAGGACCCTTGCCGGCAGGCCGGGATCGAACCTGCACTGCAGAGGCCGTAGACAGCTTCACAGCACTGCGCTCACAGCCTGCGCCACCAGGGGAGGCCCCACCTTTTAGCTATTTCTGAATGCTGCTGCAATGAACATTTGAGTCCAAGTATTTTATGTGGATATATGTTTTCATTTCTCTTGTATTAGTATTAGGAATGAATTGCTAGGATAGATGGTCACCCTACATTCAGCACTTTGAGAAGCTACCAAACTATTTTCCAAAATATCTGTGATCTTTTGCATTCAGTTGTGAAGTTATTTCTTGCAGATGACTTTATGAGTTTGTTCTGAACACTTCACCCCCTGAGTACCGTGAGAATGAGTGCGTGGTGATTCTGTTTGGATCCTACCATTACATACTGCTGCATGAAACTGGGGCCCCATGAGACCCAATATGCGGTGATTTTGTCCAAATGTAACCCCAAAAGTGTATTGTGACTTGTCAGTCCCAGCAAGCCTCATGACCCCCCATCTGTTGCTATCTAAGCCATCTTCAGAGTCCATGACAACCACTGTCTTCTTACTCAAAGTTCAACTTTCAAACATACCAAAGCCAGAACCCATGCCAAAGGTTCTGATTCAATTGGCCTGGGCATTAGGACTATTTGAAAACTCCTCACGTGATTTGAATGTGTAGCCAAGGTTGAGAACTATTACTCTGGCTAGAAGCATCCTTTCTCCCCTGAAATTTATAGCAGGTTCTCTTTAATGAAACTCAATAAGCCTTTAAAAGCATGTTCTACATTTAATTGAAGTTATTTAACATACATATTTTATTTCTCCAGCGGGGTCACAAGCTCTTTGATGACACAGCTTGTGTTTGATTCATCCTCAAGTGCCCAATATGGTTTACCCAGGGATGTTTGTTTATACTATCGTCTGTGCTCTGAAAAGAGAACTAAGAATACTAAGAACTAAGAACTAGGGCTTGTGACTGTAGACAAGTTAGATAACCTTTGAACCTAAGTTGAAAGACTGGACTACAACCATTTCCATCTTGCATTATTGGAGAATAATGCTTGAGAGACTGCCAGGCAGAAATAATCACCAGGTCTTCCCTGGTCACCCTCCTAACTGTGTAGTCACCTGCTCCCTTACCCTATCTCTCCTCTCTGATTTGCTTTTTCTCCTTTGTGATTAGCAGGTACTGTTTCATTTATCTTTATTGTCCGTCTCTATCCTCTACATCCACACCCCATGTGAACTTGTGAATGTAGAGATTTTGGTTATTTCAGCTCACTGCTTTATCCTCAGCACTCAGATTGGTTCTGAACACATAGTACATTTTTTCAAAGAATAAACAAATGTTTATTGTTAATATGTTTATTATTTATTTGTAAATAAACACTGTTAACTTTTTAAAGAAGAGGTTTAATGCCTTTCCTCTACAACAGTAATATGAGTTACTTTTTGGATAAATATTTGCAGTCATTTATTATCAAACCTTCCTTTTTCAGTAAAAATTGTATTTCTAACATGAACATGTACATTCTGAATTCATTATAGTTTGGAAATACAGTCTAGTGACAGAGAGTTGGCAGTCATTCTGTTTAAGCACGGGGGGCTGGAGTAGGGGTCATGGGCATATTTGGGGCTGTGTGCACAGGTTGGAGCAGAGGTCCAAGTCTGGGATGGAAAACCTGAATGCCAAGGTGCGGCTGAACTATCTGAATCCCACATCCCACTCCTAGGTGCTCCAGAGGACGATGATGGTGATGATGGAAGAGGACAAGAAGAGCAGGTAGAGGCGGAAGAGGAAAGTGTCCATCATATGGCCGAATTGCACCCACAGGTCAGTTAGCTGGGCCCTTGTAAATCCTGAACCCACATTCAGTTTTGCCTCTCTGGGTCCCAACTCCTTCCCTGGCTCCCCTGGCTCCTTCAGGCCTGTGGGGAGGACAGAGACTCAGCCACAAAGTGGGAAGACCATAGAATTAGACAAGTGGGAATTGTGGGAGTTAGGTCCACTCCAGAGAGTGTGAACAGAGCTCACTTCCCTTACCTGGTAAGTGAGTAGAAATGAGGCCCATATCCATATTCGCCTTCCAGTGCCAAGTGGGGCAGCACTTCAGTGGGCTGGCGCAGTAGAGGAGCAGAGAGTGGAGCCAGCGAGGCATGGGTGGGGGCTGGGTGGTGGCCAGGTGCAGCAGGTAGGTGATGAAGATGGTCTCCAGCAGGCTGACAACCATCAGGGACAGACATAGGGCAAAGTAGACACCTGGGGTGAGGTTAAGGAACATGCCTGAGAGATAGTTCCAGAGAGAGCCCTTTCTAAGAGCCCTCTCCCTTCTTCTGCAGCTGCCTTACTGAACTTGCCAGTTCGTCTACCTATCCTACCTCCTTTTCCTTGTTTTTTCATTTTCCAACAGTAGAGAAGGGGGGCATACTGATTAGTGGGGAGCCACTGGCAGGGAGGAGTTTATTCATCATGAGCAGGAAGACGTTGTAGCCCAGCAGAAGGGTTATCTTGAATGGGGCACGATTCTCATTTTCTGCCGGGAGGTAGAAGCTGAGGGCATCGATGGCAATCAGAAAGCTGCTGGGCACCAGGAGGTTTAGGACATAGAGGCTGGGCCTGCGCCTGATGGCCACCTGGTAGGGAGGAGAGAACAGAGAACCACGTGATGCAGGGACTGAAGGGTGACTGAGGAATGACTCCAGCCTCTTCCTTTTCTGGTGTCCTCATCCCAAGAGGACCCTTTCTGGGCTGGATGAGGGGCAGCATTTGCGTAGCTAATAAAACTCCTCCATACCCCCCAAAGAAAATCTAGGCAGGATGTACGTGGCAGATTCAGGAAGGGGGTACCTTGGGGGGCTCAGGGGAGAGGAAGTCTGGGAGGGTGCCCAGGAACTTTCTGGTTTGGGGGCAAAAGTAAGAAGCTCCGAGACTTGGTGCATCCGGGGAGGGAGATGAGGATGGACACCATGCTGAATCTCTGGACTCACATAGAACATGATCTGGTCAAAGAGACTGGAGCCCACAGACATCTTCGGGGTGGCCTTGTTGATGCCCAGGAGCTCCCACTCTCCTTGTGTGTTGACAATTTTGCGCGAGGTGTCTGTTATCTCCCATACTTCCTTGTCCATGCCCAGCAGCAAGTTTTCCACTGCAGGGGAGACAGTCATTCATTCACCTGCACTGTGCAAAGTGATGAAGGAGAACACTGCTTTAGCTGCTTTTTCCAGATTGTCCTATAATCTGACTTCCTTGCTGCTCAACTGCCTCCTTTGGATTTTGAACTTTTTTTTTAAAAAAAGATTTATTAATTTATGCATTCAAGAACTGGGGTACAGGCCAGAGGTGTGGGGGGTGAGAGGATTCACCAGAGACACAGTGGGGAGCAGAACAGTGGGGAGCAGATCTACTGAAATACACTCCTGAGGGGAGCAGCGGGCAAGACAGGAGAGATCTATGTGGCCATGTGGGTTGCTCCCTGGCTGGGGATCAAACTCGTGCTGCAGTAGCTGCAGATTGCTTCATAGTGCTGACGCTTAACCTCTTGCGCCACCAGGGAGGCCCCTGGATTCTGAACTTTTTAAAGAAGTTTGTTCCTTCTTAAGTTTAACTGCTTCCCACCCCACCACCCACAAACTCCTGATTAGCAAATTTTCCACTGTCCCTTGTATGTGTAAAAAAAAAAAAATGAGTGGTTATATGTACTTTCTTGCTGCCCCACTGATTGATCTAATTTACCCCATTCCACAACACCCAGGGCAGCTCACCTGTGTAGAGGAATGAGCTAAAGGTGAATGTGCAGTTCTGTTCATCAAAGGGGAAGTAGAAGATGTCTAGGCTACAGATGGTGGTCACCCGCACTGGTTTGTGATATACAATATGACCGTTGTGATTCACATATGCCGAGAGGCCTTCTGGGATCTGATCCACATCCGTGCTAAGTGATAGATGGGGAAGGAAGTAAATGCTCTGGTCTTCAATTTAAGTTTTTCTCTTAAGGGACGGCTTCCCAGTGTTGCTCATCATAGCCACTCTGCCACCTTTTCCCATTTTCTAGGGGAGAAGGATGAGCCATGACTGTGCTATTCTTAGAAATATGTTTCTCATGGGCTCACCAAAAGGGCGTGCCCGCATTACTGCCTGCTTCTTGGAGAAGGGTCTTCCCTCCCGCTGTCCGCAGCCCTGATACCCACGATTCCACGATGAAGATATCTGGGAGCCACAGATTCTCAGTTGTCACAGTGATCTTAGTGATATCACCACACTCTTCTGGGTCCCAGCTGATAAACGGGTTTTTCCAAGTCTAGGGCGCAGGGCACAGAGGGGTGGTTATTGCTGAAATCTGGAAAGTATGTCAGCAGCTGCCAACCTTCCATTCGATTATAAAGATATACAGATGTATGTGGATTCTCTTAAATGTATGTGCTATCTGCATATTATAAAACTTCAGCCCTTCCAGAACTGTATAATACAAAAAGCAATCTTCTCCCTCCTCCATTCACTCCAACTCAGTCCATATCCGCAGTTTCTTGTATATCATTCCAGAAAAATGTTAAGACTTTTTCCAGCATTCATTTTTTGTTACAGATGTAGAATCAAACTATGTACATTGCTATGTATGTTGCTTTTTTTGCCTCATTATCTTTCAAACTCTGATTCCTCTTCTCATACTAGTGATAATGTTTGCCTTTCCTAGCTAACAAAGTCTTCTTGACTTTTTACTTTCCACTCAAGGGAAATCTTAAGCTGGATGCTGGATACAGTTATGTCCTGAAACTTACGTAAGGGTTTCTGACTGTACTGATCTCCTATGTACTTTCCATCTATGTCTTTTGAATTTGATTAGCAACCCAGAAAACTATTTGTCACCAGCATGGGTCCCATTCTGGATGGATCTGTCTATTTCCTTGGGTACTGTCAATTTCAAGAAATGTGATTTTCCCCCCCAAAATCAAGAAAAAATGGGAAGGAGAAAGAAAGAAGAAGCACGTTGAACTCACATACCATCTTTAGCCATAGAAATGATGTCAGTAGCTGAAGCTGTGCATCCTGCCAAAAAACAGAAATGAAATAAAAACCCCAAAGCACAAAGCCATCCAAGATCATTAATGTCATGAAATCAGGTATTAATCTATCTCCTGCCTTTGCTTCCTAAGTGGTCCAATATGACAGTTTGATTTTTCAATCACAAATCCCAAAAGGAAGGTAGGTTAGGAAAATGCAGGTTGCCTGGAAAATGTAGGGGGCAAAACAGCAGGGCAGGCCATTGGGAATATATATATATTTTGTAGAACATTCCTATAAGGGCAGGTCAAGGACAAATATTCTCTGTAGAAATGTCATTCCAACATCCCCCTTAACATTTCTTTATCTCATAGGATGAACATCTAACTTGAATAAAATCCACTCACTGCTTACACTGGACCAGTACAATGTTGAGTTGACAAGGCAGAGTCCTTGTTCCTTATTAGAAACTTATGGAAAGAATGCAGGAGTCAGAACTCACCACATCCAGGATGGCATACAGGGTGAAGGAGATGTTGACATGAGTAGGAATGCTGTAGTTGATGACTGGACGGAAGTCCTTCTGGTCAAAGATAGTTTGAAAGACATCAGGGTCCACTCCATGCAGGTCAAAACCTGAGCAATTGATGGTGAAGGAGTTTGCCCTTCCTGTAGAGAGTAGAGACTCTGTGAGATGGGAATAGGGCTTTTGTGTTTCCTAAGTGCAAGGGTTGGGCCCTGAGAGCCTTTCTGCAGGAAAAAAAAATGTGGACCCCTCTTTCCTGGGCCAAGATTCTAGGGTTAAGCCCTTTCTCCAGGGCTAGGGAGGATGGGTTGGGCTGGTAGGCAAATGGTGGATGTGGTGTGGTGAGTGGAGTCAGGGGTCAGTCCTTTCTTCCTGTGCTTTTACTCCCATATAAATCCTACCCAAATTTGTATGCAAACAATCACCCAGACAATCCTGTTCCTTCCATACTGCCAACCCTAAAGTTTTGACCCTTATCTGACCAGATTTTTTTTTTCTCTATTGTTCTATTTGGGTTCTTCCTCATAGTCACTGAACAAAATTTTCCTAAATTATTTTTTATTTCATTTTTTCCTTCCCACTTTCATGCTTTCCCATTTCCTGAAAGGAAAAGTTTGGGGGAGAAGTAAGCATTAGTGTGATATAAAATATATGGGGACCTAAGGAATATTGTATTTGATGTGACTTTATTGACTTCCTACTATGTGCTATGCTCTTCTCAAATTCTTTGGTTTCTTCTGTGTTCTGTGGGAGCCATTTTCATCATTACTGTTTTGAAGACCCCATAAATCATCCATTGGGTGCTTGGTGGAGCTATGCATGTAATGTAAATGCTCTTCTTGACCTCACTCCCTCTCCACTCCCAAATGTGGCTATTCCAGTATATAGCCCAACTAGTCCTTCCCATGGCCGATAACCATTAACCCATGAGGTATATCTCTGAACTAGGGAGAAACATGTCCTGGGGGAGCAAACATTGTCCATTTCTCTCCATGTCAACTCCTCTACAAGATCTTCCCAAGAGAGGTGGGAGAAGAGTTATGCTGTTTTCAGTGGGATCCAAGTAACTCTATTCATTGTTACTATATCTTGGTAGAAAAGAAAAAGTTGGACATTAAAAATATTTGCAATTGGACAGTTAGTAAAATGTAAGGACAGAAAATTCTGAAGATGTCTATGCAGGCAAATGAGAGCGGGGTTATATGAAATGGGTTTGTCATCTGTCCCCAAAAGAAGCCAAAATAGATACTAACGAGAAAGGAACTATTTCATCTGGCTCTCTAGTTCTAGAGAAGGAGAGGGTTTCTGGATTTGCCCAGGACAGCATTCCCATTTTTCCCAGTTCTTACCTCTCTTACCTTGAAACAGAAGACTGACAATGAAGCAGAGGAGGAATTGCCACCTAGTGGGCCACCCCCCTTCCATTGCCCTCTTCTGGACCCTTCTCTGGGAACTCGCCAAGAGCCACCAAACCCTTGAGCTTAAAGAAGTGTGGACCACACCTTTTTCCCTAGTTTTGAATATTACTTATGACAGGTGACCACTCCCTGGTAAGAGGTTGTGGTCAGGAGGTCACAGCAGAGTGTCCTGCTTTGCCCTGTCCAGATATGTCTTCCGGACTCCAGGCAGGGAGGGCGTGGGACCAGGTCTTGGGGAGAGGTATCCTGCCTGGCAGCCTCGTCTAAATGAGTGGCTTAAAATCTGAGTTTCAAGTACTTTTCAGAAAAAAATGGGGAATTTGGGAGATGAGGCAGACAAGACCATTGATAAGGGCCTTGTAGGCGCTTGTGGAACTGTGACTCAGAGCAAGTTCATGGGCCATCGGGAAAGGGGTGGTTATGTTCTCCTGTGATGGGGATACCTGTTAGCAAGACAAGAACATGCAATTATTTTGCTGGAGACCTAGAATTGTATCCTTTATCCAACTGTGGAGTTCAGGATTATCCATATTGAGTAAAAGCTTGATTGAAAAGTAAGCTTATGATGTAAACCTAACCCACACACCTCCATCCCCACAACTAGGCCATAGAACATATCTGCGTCATCCCTGTTTACACTACTGGAATAGCTGTTCATCAGGTTTCCTCTATCTAGATCCTCCACCCTATATCTAGCCTTTCTTTTTTTCCAGTCTCCTAAAGCAGATTTCTCCTGCTTACCTTTCCTTAGTTAATGATTCCAAGGCTCCAACCCTGGGGCCACCAGGGAATGTGTGTGTGTGAACAGAAAATCATTTGATGAGTTTTTGAAAATATCAAGTGCTCCCACCCTCCCACCTCTATAGAGGGGTGTATGTGGTATGTATGTTTAAAAGCTCCCCAGAGGGTTCTGATTCACACTAATTTTATTGAAAACCTTTGGGCTGGACTATAGTCATGCATTGCTTACCAGACAGGGGCACATTTTGAGAAATGTGTCATGAGGTGACTTTGCCCTTGTCTGAGTGTCTTAGTATATATTTACACAAATTTAGATGGTGTGCCTACTATACACCTAGACTCTATGTAGGGGCCATTGTGGTCCCTAGAGCTATCACCTATGGTCAGCCCTTGACCAAAACATGGTTATTCAGTGCATGGCTGGATATTACAATATCACAATCAGGATTTGATTTAGTCAAGACACAGAACATCAATGCCAGGATCCTTCAGGTCACACTTTCATAGACATGACTGCTCTCTCCTCACTTTCTACCACCCTGCAACTAGTAATATGTTCTCATGTTCTATACTTTTGCCACTTCATGAATGTTATATAAATCATCCAGTATGTATACATATATACACACACACACATATGTATATATATATATATATATATGAACTTTTTTTTTTAAGAGGCATGTATTTTATTTATTTATTTATTTCTTGTTTATTTGTTTGTTTATACAAGCACTGGGTACAGTCAGAAGCGCGGGAGGGTGAGAGAATTCACCAGAGCCAGAGCAGGGAGCAGAGCAGGCAGAAGGACCGAAGTACACTGCTGAGGGGAGCAGCGGGCGGCAGGAGAGGTCTGCGCGCCATGTGGGACCCTCTGCCAGTGGCCGGGGAGCAGCCGGGGATCGAACCGGCACCACAGAGGCCACGGGCAGCTTCGCAACCCAGCGCTCAACCGCTGCGCCACCAGGGAGGCCCTATATCAACTTTTAATAGATATTCTATATGTATTTGTAATGAATGCGTATCCTCCAATTGTTGAGTATAAGGTTTTTATATTCTCATTAAATATAATTCAAATATGTGGTTAAATTATCTCTTTACTAGTTACTGAGAAGTGTTGAAATTTGATAGTAGATCTGTCACTTTCTCCTTGTAATTCTTTCAATTTTGCTCTATATATTGTTTTTATCCTCCAATGATTAAATATTTTATCACTGCCTGTGTATCAAGTTTGTGAGACTATATATACACACATGTGTATGTATACACATACCATATATATATATATACATCTAAAACAATGAAACTAAGAGGCTTTTAAAAAATACACACTACGGGGTAGCGGGGAGGAGGGAGTAGGATCAAAACAAGGTGGGGTGGGAATTATATGGGGACTATAACCAAGATGAAAATGCATACATTGTGCAAAAATGAAAAATGATGTAAAATTGTATAAAATAAAATAAAATATTTATTTTTATTTATGTATATAAGAACTGGGGTGTAGGCCAGAGGTGCTAGGGGGTGGGTAAGAGGATTCACCAGAGACAGAGTGGGGGACAGAACAGGCAGACTGACTAAAATACACTGCTGAGGGGAGCAGTGGGCGAGCCGGGAGGGTCACCTCCCTGGCTGGGGATCCAACTTGTGCTGCAGTGGCTACAGATAGCTTCATTGTGCTGCATCTTAACTCCTTGTGCCACTAAGGAGGCCCCAAAATTTTGCCATTATAAATCCAAGGACTTGCTTAGTAAGAAGCTCCTAACCTTTCTGGGAGTCCCTTAAGGCAGAGAGGCACACGTGGAACATTCTCACAGTATATTTTAAAAGTGCTAATTATTTTTGTAGGTGTCTATAAGTATGCTATATATGTGGAATAATGAGTGTCTGGGTACCAATTCTGATTTATTAAGGATGAAGATACAGACTTACTGTCCTAAATGCAAGACAGGGATGGGAGGTTTTCAAAAGAACTAGTAAAGTGATAAAGAAATAATAGTGAAAGTTGTTGGTATAAGGATGATATAGGGGAAAATACAAGAGAAATAACAGAAGGTGAGAGAAATGGTGTTGAAAGAGCAAATGGAAGAGTTTGATTTTCAAGAAGCATGAGAGATGGAAGAAGAGAGGGTGTAAGTATGAAATATGGTACTTTCTGTAGATATTCTAGATCTCCATTGATAGAAGGAATCAATGACAGTGATGAGATAAAGGATAAATAACCTGATCAGATATGTGAGTTATCAAAAGAATAAGTAAGGAGAAAAATCTCAGAATTGGTTAAAGAATAAGAAAATAAACATTGAGATGTGAGAAGGTTGTGTGGCTACCTCTGGATACGGCTAACAAAAGAAGAGAGTGGGAAGTTGGTAGCAATGACAACACAAGAAGTTAGAAGCATAGTGAGAGTATAACATTCAAGGAGAGTAGTATAATCAAGGCCAAGTTTTTTATAGAGCTTATAAATTTTCACAAGTTTACAATATAAAATAGAGGAAAAGGAAATGAAGTTATTGTTACAAGGACTACTTCATATGTTTATTTGTTTGGTTAGTTAGTTAGTTAGCTAGTTAATGGGAGGACCAGAATTAGAAACCAGAAATACCCCCTCCCTCCAAATGGTGAAATATCCCTAACATTCCTGATGACATGTCTAGGTTAGCTTAAAATGCTTCTTGCTTCATTGTTAGATCATGTTTTATAGCACAAGGCTTACCTCAACCTTAACATATGAACAAGATGTTCTTTAGCAAAGGACATTTTCAATTATAATGATCTTAGCACAGGAAACCTAAAGTCATATATGTGAGGAGGGAAAAAAATTCTAAGATGACATCTAGAGAAGTGTAAATAAGTGTAAATATAGAGATGGGAAAGGAAAAAGAAATGATGCAACGGTGATCTTAAGAAATTTGAAGCTGTGGTAAACACTCTTCTTTTAAGTTTTTAGCAAAAGACAAGGATGAGTTTCTGAGTGAGAAATATATTCCAAGTTATGAAAGAAGGAAGCAAGATAATCTGACAGCAGAAATGCCTTTGTCTGTGTATAAGTGATGCCTCTAAACACTCAAAGGTAGTTAAATTGACATGTAAAATGGGCTACTAATTTTCCAAATTAGAAATGGAATAATAAAATATACCAGAATGGGATAAAGAGATTTACATCTACAGCTACTGAAACACTGATTCTTGGTTGACTGCCATTCACTCATATATTTAATTGTTAAACAAGTTTGTATTAAGCAACTATGATGTGTCAGGCATAGTACTGTATTCTGAACTATGAAAATGGGTAAGACATTGTCCCTGACCTTCAGGAAAGCACTCGCTAAGTAGAGGCAGAAATAAATACCTGAAATGTGTTCACCTAGTTGTGAATATGATTTAAAAATATGTCTATGGTATCTTTCATTTGCCCCTTCAATTTCCTTCTCTGGTCTGGGTCTTGCTTCTAGTTAACTGTCAGAATCTTCTGCAGGATGGTATCTGTTCATGAAGGTGTGAAGTACTATTGTTTGGGTTACAATTCCAACATGAATGTGTGTGGAGGCTGCCTCATACTGGCAAGCAATTCCAAGTGGGGTGTCTAAGAATTCAATTCATTTCTGACACTATTGAATCAGGGTTTGAGGAACGGGCCTGTAGTATGAGGACCCCAGGCATATTCTTTCTCAGTTCTTATCTTTAACCAGGAAAGAACTCAATGTCAAGACCAAAGTTACAGAAAAGCAAGAGATTTACTGTTTGGTAAGAGTAAGGACAGGAAAACTCTCACGGTAGAGTGGGGTTCCAAGGGGGTAGCCACTGAGGGCGCCAGAAGCAGGTGCTTCTGTGTGTATAGTTAGCAAGGTGTGGGGTTTGGCTGTTGGGTATCTCTGTGTTCTGCATTGTGTCTCTTGCTGATTGGCTGGGCCTACGGGGGTCTCCTAGGCTACAGAAACCCATTGAGTTTTCCCACGTTACCCAGCCTACCTTTGGAAACCAGCTTTAGTCCATTGCTATTGTGTTATTATGTTGGTGTTCTGAACATTCTATTTTTGTTTTTTTTTTTGTTTTTTTTAATAATAAATTTTATTTTTATATTCCCCATACAATTGCAACCCCCTTATTTTGACCCCAATCCCTCCCCTCCCCGCCCCCCACCCCCCACAGAGTGTCTCTGGTTCATAGTTTTTTGTTGATTGTGATTTTCACTTTCTTATAATTATTCATTTTCCTGGTCCCTTATTTAAGTTTTCTAGATTCCTGCTATGAGTGAGACCATCCGGTATTTTTCTTTTTCTTTTTGGCTTATTTCGCTGAGCATGATCCCTTCCAGCGCCATCCATGTTGCTGCAAATTGCATGTGTTTATCTTTTTTGAATGCTGAGTAATATTCCATGGTGTATATGTACCACATCTTCTTGATCCAGTCATCTATTTTTGGGCATTTGGGCTGTTTCCAAAGCTTAGCTATTGTAAATAGTGCTGCTATAAACATAGGGGTGCAGGTGCTCTTTGGAATTGATGTTTCTGTGTCCTTTGGGTAAATACCTAGGAGTGGAATTGCTGGATCATATGGAAGCTCTATGTTTAGTAGGTCCAGAAATCTCCACACAGCTCTCCATAGTGGTTGGACCAGTTTGCACTCCCACCAACAGTGCAGGAGAGTTCCTTTTTCTCCACACCCTCGCCAACATTTGTTGTTGCTAGCTTTTTTAATATGTGCCATTCTCACTGGTGTGAGATGGTATCTCATGGTAGTTTTGATTTGCATTTCCCTGATTACAAGTGGTGAACATTCTATTTTTGAATTGAATTGGCAGGGGCGCTTCTTGGTTTGCAGTTGTTTCTCAATCAGGCTGATGAATGGACTTGGGACTTGGGGCACCTTGTTCCTAACTGACTTCCTGTACACATTTCCTAACTTCCTTCACTATCTCTGTGGAGGGCTCCTCTCCCAAGACTGCCCTCTACTTCAGATCTCAGTTTTAAGCCCAAGCTGTTACCTGTGCTCATGACTAACCGGCAACAGATTAGAGATTCCCACGGCCCCTCCTCAGGCTTCAAGTGCCAGCTGCAAGCCCAGATTATTACCTGTGCTTCTGAGCAACTGGTTATAAATCAGAGGTTCTAAGGACACCTTCCTCAGATTCAATTAGTTCTCTAGAGTGGTTCACAGAACTCAAGAAACCTGCTCACTCAGTAGATAATCGATTTTATTACAAAGGATACTAAAGGCTATGACTCAACATCCAGATGGAGAGAAGCTCAAGGTGAGGTCCCAAACAAAGGAACTTGGCATCCCACCAGGTAGCACAAGAAAGGGCTCTGGTTTCCCAGTCGGAAAGCTCTCTGAAGCCCCTCCTTTTTGGCCTTTAATAGAGACTTCATTACTTTAATTCATTGGCAGTTAGCAATTGAACTCAACTTCCAGCCCCTTTTCCTTCCCTAGAAATAAAGAGGCTGGATTCTGTCCTCTCTGCATGTCAGTTTCCCTAACAACCAGCCTCCACCCTTAGATGTTCCCAAAAGTTACTTTATTAACACAACAAGCAACACCTTCAATACATTCAACACATTCAGAAACTTCAAGGTTTTTGGGAGCCGTAAGGAACTGTGGTCAAAGACCAAGTATACACGAAGAATATCTGAATGACCAAATACATTTTTTCCCTTATAAGTCTCACTATCACAAGTATTAATAGGGAACTCTTTTCTACAAATAGGGCTTTTTGATAGTAAAAATAAGAATACTCATAGAAAATATTAAAAAAATAGTAATCATTCGTAGTCCCATTGCCTGGAACAAAAGTTTGCTCATGTTTTCAGTGTCTAACCAGCCATACCTTTTTCTCTGCACTGTTTTCTAGCTCTATTTTTTTTTCCAGTAGTTATATAAAGACATACTGTTTTGTAACTTGTCTTCTCTACTTTATATACTATGGACTTGCTTACATGGTGTTGACATACATCTACACCCTCACTTTAAGTGGCTACATGGGATTCCACTGTGTGGTTATAAAAGTATTTACCTGAACCCTTAACTAGTCTTCCTGGCTCTCCTCCAAGACTGCATATCCACTCTGTTTGATGTAATGAAATTAGAGGAAACTGTCAGAACTTTCAAAATGACACAATATATTATTTATCTCAGAGCAATTTCATGAGTGAAAGAGGTAAAGGAAAATTGAAATGGAAATGGTTGATAAAAGAAACATTTTCCTCGGTAAATATTTTATACTAATCTTGTAAATGAGACTTGACATTTTCATTTTTTAAAACTCTGAAAATATATGAATGACTTAAAATTAAATCAGATATAAAGAGCTTCTGCACAGCAAAAGAGACAATAACAAAAACAAAGAGAAACCCCACCAACTGGGAGAACATTTTTGCACCCAACACTAATGATAAAGGACTGATCACAAAAATCTGCAAAGAGCTGATGAGACTCAACAACAACAAAGAAAATAATCCAGTCAAAAAATGGGCAGAAGAGCTAAAAAGAAACTTCTCTGAAGAGGAAATGCAAATGGCCAACAGGCATATGAAAAAATGTTCAACATCACTTGTCATCAGGGAAATGCAAATCAAAACTACCATGAGATACCATCTTACACCAGTGAGAATGGCACATATTAAAAAAACTAGCAACAACAAATGTTGGCGAGGGTGTGGAGAAAAAGGAACTCTTCTGCACTGTTGGTGGGAGTGCAAACTGGTCCAACCACTGTGGAAAGCTGTGTGGAGATTTCTGGACCTACTAAACATAGAGCTTCCATATGATCCAGCAATTCCACTCCTAGGTATTTACCCAAAGGACACAGAAACATCAATTCCAAAGAACACCTGCACCCCTATGTTTATAGCAGCACTGTTTACAATAGCTAAGCTTTGGAAACAACCCAAATGCCCAAAAATAGATGACTGGATCAAGAAGATGTGGTACATATATACCATGGAATATTACTCAGCATTCAAAAAAGATAAACACATGCAATTTGCAGCAACATGGATGGCGCTGGAAGGGATCATGCTCAGCGAAATAAGCCAAAAAGAAAAAGAAAAATACCGGATGGTCTCACTCATAGCAGGAATCTAGAAAACTTAAATAAGGGACCAGGAAAATGAATAACTATAAGAAAGTGAAAATCAAAATCAACAAAAAACTATGAACCAGAGACACTTTTAGGGGGGCAGGGGCGGGAGGGGAGGGATTGGGGTCAGAATGGGGGCGCTGCAATTGTATGGGGAATATAACAATAAAATTTATTATCTAATAAAAAAAAATTAAATCAGATAACACCTCTTTAGGGGAAGTATCAAATATTTTGCAAGAGGATTCCAATGTTTGGGGAACCTTCATAAATGTATTGAGGAGCCAGTGCTTCCTGGGAAATCATTTATTGGAACACAATCAAGGAGACACTCCCCTGACTTGGATCTTGGACTCCTGATGGGAGTCAGAAGTTAGGTTTGGCTAAAGAACACTAAAAATGGAGGAAAGAGAACTATGGTATATGAGAAATCTGGAAATTGTCTAAGGCTGTTCTGAAGCTGCTCAGTAGGGCTGTGTTGGGTTCTGAGAACATAGAAAGGGACATGGTAATCACTGGGGTATGTGGTAAGATTAGGAAAGGGATGTGGGTCTGGTTGTCCTGAAACCAGGAGAAATTCCAAGCTGTGACTTGCAGGGAGAAGTGGCAATGAACGTCTGCCTAGGTGCTCCAGAGGACAATGACCGTGATGATGGAGGTGGCCATGAAGAGCAGGTAGAGGCGGAAGAGCAGGGTGTCCATCATGTGGCTGAACTGCACCCACAGGCTGACCAAGTGCTGCTTCTGAGCCTCATCTTCCTGCTGGGCCCTTGTTGACCCAGCACGCCCGTTTACCTCTGCCTCCCTGGGACCTGGCTCCTTCCCCACCAACTCCACAGGCTCCTTCACACCTTCAGAGAGAGAGAGAGAGAGACTCAGCCTTGGGCTGGGAGGCTCACCCACTTGGGGAGGAAGGGAAACAGGAAAGGATGCAGGAACAGAGAAGTGGAGGTACTAGGAGATGAGGGTGGGCAAGGCTGATTTCCCTTACCAGGCAGGTGGGCAGGAGTGGGGCCCAGGCTCCTGTTTCCCTGCTGGGGCCTAGTGGGGCAGCACTTCAGAGGGCGGGCACAGTAGAGGATCAGAGAGTGGAGCCAGCGAGGCATGGGTGGGGGCTGGGTGGTGGCCAGGTGCAGTAGGTAGGTGATGAAGATGGTCTCCAGCAGGCTGACCACCATCAGGGACAGACAGAGGGCAAAGTAGACACCTGAGGACAAAGCAAATTATAAATTACTAGAACAAATTCATCTATACACTTTTTAGCCTTTTCCCCTAAATCCAATCTTTCCTCAGAAGCCCTTCCCTTAGGGCCTCCCTGGTGGCGCAGTGGTTGAGCGCTGGGTTGCGAAGCTGCCCCAGCCTCTGCAGTGCCTGTTCGATCCCCACTCGTCCCACATGGCGCACAGAACTTTCCTGCCGCCCGCTGCTCCCCTCAGCAGTGTACTTCGGTCCTTCTGCCTGCTCTGCTCCCCGCTCTGGCTCTGGCGAATTCTCTCACCCTCCCACGCTTCTGACTGTACCCAGTGCTTGTATAAATAAAAACTAAATCTTTAAAAAAAAAAAAAGAACCCTTTCCCTTAAGGGGCGAGGGAAGGGATGCTCCTGGTTCCCCTTCACTGTCCCCAGCTGCCTTTGCTTCTCTGGAAAGTGGGAGGGTCCATACTGATGAGGGGGGTGCCACTGTTAGGGAGTAAGTCATTCATCATGAGCAGGAAGACGTTGTAGCCCAGCAGAAGGGTTATCTTGAATGGAGCACGATTCTCATTTTCTGCCGGGAGGTAGAAGCTGAGGGCGTCGATGGCAATCAGAAAGCTGCTGGGCACCAGGAGGTTTATAATGTAGAGACTGGGCCTGCGCCTGATGGCCACCTGGTGGGGAGGAAGAGCGTGTGAAGAATGTGGCAAATATACTGATATCGGTGGGATCACCTTGTATATTTAAGTATCTCGTCCTTGCTGATGTCCTCATAGGCTGACTATGGGAAGCTCTCCTTAGGTAACACAAACACTTAATTGTCCTCTCTATGGAAGTGCCCCCATGATGTTGTCTAATTTTGTGTTCAATCTGCTGGAAACTCAATTATAGACTTTCAGGGGCAAGTAGTGCCTTTTGCAGCAGCAGAGAGAAGGCCGCTCCATGCTGAGCAGTGGTGCTCATAACACTTCTCCCTGCAGGGCTGGAGAGGTGAGAGGCAAGAGGTGGGGAGTGGGAGGCCAGTGGGTCCTTCTTCAGGGCAGTTAGGATAGAGGATGGCATGAAGAGCAGGTGCTACTCCCTGCAGCTTTATTTTTACATCCCAAATTTTAGCAAGAGGAAAATTACAGAGCAGCTGGCATCAGAACTCAAACAGGGACCCCTGGACTTACATAGAACATGAGTTGGTCATACACGCTGGTGCCCACTGACATCTTTGGGGTGGCCTTGCTGATGCTCAGTAGTTCCCACTCTCCCTGGGTCTGAATGATGTCACGAGACGTTTCTGCGATCTCCCACACTTCCCTGTCCATGCCCAGTAGCATGCTCTCCACTGCGAGGGAGGCCGAGGTGACTCAGTCCAGAAGTGCTCCCAAATCTCTGCCCACAAAATCCAATTCCGCCCCTTCTTCAACAAAATTTCCCCTCTGTCCTTTAAAAGCAGAGCACCCTTGTTTTCTCAGAAGTGGGGTACAGGACCAACCATTCTTGTGTGTGGGGCTGCAGCACTAATTTTTTATGGTTGAAAACAAGAGTGAGGGCCTCCCTGGTGGCGCAAGGGGTTAAGCACATCACTGTGAAGCTATCCACAGCCTCTGCAGCACGAGTTTGATCCCCAGCCGGACAGGGAGCTACCCACATGGCACAGAAGACCTCTCCTGTCTCACCCGCTGCTCCCCTCAGCAGTGTATTTCAGTAGATTCGCCTGTTTTGTTCCCTACTCTATCCTTGGTGAATCCTTTCACTACTCGCATCTCTGGCCTGTACCCCAGTTCTTGCATGCATAAATAATAAATAAATCTTAAAAAATAAAACAAGAGTGAGTCAAGGTTGTGATGAGGATATTGGAGATGACTCCAACGTGAGTCAAGAGCTTTGGTAGTCACCCCTATTTTCCTTTTGGTCCCCAGTTGTGTGACATTATTTTAATGGAATCAATATGAACAATTCAACATTTTTTAAGGTGTTCCCTTTATAATGACTGATTTACCCCAATTCCCTTTATAAATACTGATTTACTCCAATCAGATGACACCTAGTGGCATTTAGCTACCTTGACTTACAGGTTTTAATGCACTAACTATTAAAGTTAGAAGATTTGATCTAAAAATTATAGGTGTGCAGCAGCTCAGGGACAAGCAGGTCTTTGGTACAAGTGCCATCCAAGATCTAAAGCAATGGTTCTTTTGTTTTTTAACTTTATTTTTTTAAAGATTTATTTACACACACAAGAGCTAGGGTGTAGGGCAGAGGTGAGACAGGAGAGGTCTGCTGTGCTATGTGGGTCACCTCCCTGGCCAGGGTTTGAACTCGTGCTTCAGTAGCTACGGAATGCTTCCTAGTGCTGACATTTAAGCCCTTGTGCCACCAGGGAAGCCCCTGTTTTTTAACTTTATTAAGGACTTATAGCAGTAGTTCTTAACCCTGTCTGTATGTTAGCACTGCCTGGGCCCCACCTGAAACCATTAACTTAGGATCTCTGGGGTAATGCATAGTTGCGGATATTTTGAAAAAGCTTTGGTGGGCAACCAGAGTTGAGAAACACTGATTTAAAACCTGCTCTATTAATACCTCCACCACTTAACGATCTTTCCTGAATCTTAAATAGTCATCAAAATGTGTCATGCTTACCTGTGTAGAGGAAGGAACTGAAGGTGAAAGTGCAGTTCTGTTGGTCAAAAGGGAAGTAGAAGATGTCCAGGTTGCAAATGCTGGTCACCCGCACTGGCATGTCGTACTTGACTCGACCTTCACTGCTGACATACGCTGTGAGACCTGAAGGGGCCCTTTGCGTGTCCATGCTGCTTGGGAGAGGAAGGCAGAAGTGGGTGCTGTGGTGCCTTAACCCTATATCTCCCCCACATTCTTACACATTGCACTCTTCTTTTTGGCTTTTTCTTTAATGTCACCCTATCCTGTCTCTTCTCACAGTGATTTGTGGAAGTCCATTAATTGAGCCTGTGCCCCTGTCTGAATTTTTTGGTTTCCCTGTGCCCTGCACTGACCCTGGGCTATTCTTTGCACGTGGGGTGGATGCTGGCTTCCCCCAGCCCAGATACGCACGATTCCACGATGAAGATGTCAGGGAGCCACAGGTATTCAGCTGATATGCTGAGTTTATTGATGCTGACACACTCTTCTGGATTCCAGCTAATAAAAGGATTGTCCCACATCTGCAGCCAGGGCAGTGGAAACAGAGGTGAGTGATGGTAATCTTGTTCGGTCAACCTCTCCTGCCCTTCCTGTTCTTCTTCAAATACTGACCCTCTAATGCCCACTCATGCTGTAATAACCCCAGCCCGTCTCCCCTTCTTTATCCAGCCAGGTGCCATTGGCAAAGGACCCTTATGGCCTTATTCCAGGCAGACCTTAAATATGGTGTAAAACCACTTGTATCCAGGAACATATCAATATAAAGGCCTCCATCCACCTGACCACTTTCTTGGGTCACTATTTCAACCTTCTTAAGATGTCCAGGGAGATTAATGTCCCCCAAGGTCAGTCCAGTTCTAGATGGAGTTTTTTGACTCCAGAATTATTCCTACATTGCATAGAGGTTTGGGCTGGAAAAGCTTTTATTCACTCCTCAAATTAAAAAATATAAATAGAAGTGGGGAGAGAAAAGTTGGATCTGCCTTACCAAATCCATCCATAGGAATGATGTCAGAAGCTGGAGCTGTGCATCCTGTTAAACAAATTCCCATCCAGGATTATTAGTGCAAGAAGACCACTCCCACCTCACATTCATACTAATTTTGCTAATTTGTTGGGCCAGGCATAGTTCTAGATGCTGGAGTGTCTTTTGCTTACCTGTCTCCCCTTTCATCTAGGGACAATTCAGATTTTCATTGACATACAGACCACTTCTTTCTGAAGCATTCCAGAAAGGACAGAACTCAAGGACCAATCCTTGAAAAAAATATCACTACAGCAATCCTATTGCTTGCTCCCTGCCCCATAGGAAAACCCTCCAACTTAAACAAAAGCCATTCAGAGTCCCAGATGCTCACCACTGGACCAGTACAATGTTGGGTTGACCAGGTAGAGTGCCCTTGTTCCCTATCAGAAGTTACAGAAAGTGGGGACCAGGTCTCACCACTTCCAGGATGGCAGATAGGGTGAAGGAGATGTTGACATGAGTGGGTATACTGTAGTTGATGACAGGACGGAAGGCCTTTCTGTCAAACACTGCTTGGAAGGCAGCAGGATCCAGCCCGTGCTGGTCAAAGCCTGAGCAATTGATGGTGAAAGTGTCACCTTGTTCTGTGGAGAGAAGAGACCCTATGAGAAAGGGCCTCTATTTCCAGAGCTGGAGCCTCTCTGAAGAGAGAGAAAGCAAGGGGTTTACTGGGAGAACATCCCAGGTGAACCCCTCCTTCTTGCATCAAGACTTGCCAAGGCCAAAAACCTTCATACCAGAGCCAGAAAGGATGGGCTGGTCTGGTAGGCAAATGGTGGAAGTTATGTGGTGAACATAACTACTCTCATTCCCATGGTTTCGTCCTCATGCAAAACTTGCCCAAATCTGTGCACAAACTTGGCGCTGGTATAATGGCAGTCTTGTCAGAGTCCTTTAGTGTACCCATCACACGCCAGTTAGAGGTAACCCTGGTAACCCTAGTAACCCTGGTCAGCACTGCCCTAAAACTTGTCCTGTCACCTAGAAATCCTCTCTAATGTCTTTCTCTTCCTCATTCTCAAGGACTTGTGTTTACCAAAGATATGAACTGATTTATCAAGGGGTCAAGAGAAGTAAACATCTGCACTCACGAGGCAGATAAGACAAACACGTAGCAGGTTTTCTGAGTGAGTGCTTACCTTGCTGCTATGCATTTATTTTTTCCTTCTTGCATGGAATCACCTCAAGGACCCTGGGGATTATTTCTAGTATTGGGCTCATAAGATGACATCACTGAGTATGGACCATACGCCAGTCACATAGCAAGGCCTGCATAGGTGCTTCCTCTTGGTCACAGAAGTTCTTGAGCAGAATTTTTGCCCCATTTCTATCTTTGTCCTCAGCTCTTCTTCCTGTGCTGCCTCCTATACATCGCCATCTCTTTATGTGATATTTAAGGTATATACTCAGACTTGGAACAAATACTCCTTCATGAAAGCAAGGTATTGTCTCTCTTCTACCTCAGATGGATCCCTACCTTCTTTGAGACATGTTTAAAATCAGTGGCTATTCTTCAACTAGATACAAGGAAAGGAGAGTGAAGGGTTTGATAGAAGGGGCATGGACAGTGAGTGGACAGGAGGAATTGGAGACGTGGTGAGCTGGGATCTGTAGGCAGGAGTAGAGAAGGCCAGTGTGCCCTGATCAGTGGAATGTCTTTCTCTCTGTCACCAATAGGGAATCAAGACCCAGACATTATGTCAGAAATATTTAACATGTTAATTCTGAATATCCTCCAAGTGCTAGAAGGGTGTCCCCAGATGTCTTTCAAAACCACACTCTGGTCTTCCTGGTTCTTGTCCCCTCTTACCTTGAAGCAGAAGGCTGAGAGTGAGGCAGAGGAGGAATCTCCCCTTGGAGGGCCTCCCGCCTTCCATCATCCTCTCCTGGACTCTTCTCTGGGGACTAACCAGGAACCCCAAACCCCTTAGCTTAAAGGAGTCCAGACCACACCTTGGTTTTGAATACTGCTCTTGACAGGTAGCCACTCCCTGGTGAGAGACTGCGGCCTGAGAGGTCACAGCAAAATATCCGGCTTTGCCCTGTCGAGGGTATGCCTTCCGGGCTCCAGGCAGGGAGGATGTAGTGGAGAGGCATCCTGTTTGGCAACTCTCCTGAGATTAATAACAAAATAACTTGCCTACATGAGACAGTGTGGGCAGGTGAAACAAGAATTATGTTCTTCTAAAGCCAGGGAATCTGCAGATTTGGAAAGGTGACACTATTTATGCTTTGGTTATGCACTCGTTAGGGATACTTGCAAATACCAAATTATAAAACTTGATCCTACCTTTATTGTCTGTTGTCTATATTTTTCCAAGACCTTCTAACTCGATTTCCTTTTTCCAATCTTTCAGCTCCCCTGATTCATTCTCCTCCCCCAGTCAGTGTAGTGCACATGTTTTACATGACACATTGATTACAGGATAAGTACATTACCTGATAAATCATAAAATTGAGATAACAGAGCTGTTCACTGTTTTTGTGTTACCAAAAGCGTTACGTATTATCATAAATTAGTAATCTCAGCTAACATCAATGCTGTGACATGAGTTAATAGTATATTTTATGTCTCGTCTCTGTATAAAAAAATAAGACCCAGTGAGTGAATTGGAGCATGGTTATATTAAGTATCTAAGGTATATATATATATTTTTTAAAGATTTATTTATTTATTTATTTATTTATTTATTTATTTATTTATTTATTTATTTATTTATACAAGCACTGGGTACAGTCAGAAACTCGGGAGGGTGAGAGAATTCACCGAGCCAGAGCGAGGAGCAGAGCAGGCAGATTGACGAAATACACTGCTGAGGGGAGCAGCGGGCGGCAGGAGAGGTCTGCGCGCCATGTGGGACCCTCCTCCGGTGGCTGGGGAGCAGCTGGGGATCGAACCGGCTCCGCAGAGGCTGCGGGCAGCTTCGCAACCCAGCGCTCAAATGCTGCACCACCGGGGAGGCCCTCTAAGGTATATTTCCAAGAAAGATTTGGAAATTTTTTTCTTGCACAACAGGTGAAGGGTCAAACTTAGAATACAGAGGAAACTTTGTTCAGAAGATCAAGCATAATGATAACCCTAAATAGAAAGTGCTGAGTCAGGCAGGAATGATTTAAAAGTTCCAAAGTAGGAAAGTACAGAGGGCTGCAGTATCTTGCATCTGAAATCTGCCAGATCTGTAGTTCTTTGTCCCCGCCAACTCTGTAAGTCATTTCGTCCTTTCTTCGTTACTTGGTAAGCCTGAGACAGAAGTGAAAGGGAAGGGAAGAAAGAAGAAGAGAATTAAATGAAAAAACATAGCTGGCAGTACTGACATAGAAGGAGCCAGAAAGGCAGAAGAAGGAGGGCTAGGGGCAGAGGTTGTTAGAGAATTTGCTCAAGGTTTGGGGTCTCTTTTGTGATATGAAAGAATTCATGTCAAGTTGGGAGACAAGTTGGCATCTGGCAGCATCAGGCACTGACTAGCACAAGGAGGAAGCATTGGCATGAAAAGTGGAGCAACCTACTAGGCTATGATGCTTTTCCAAGCTAGGAGGACACATGGTCCCATACACAGTGTTCTCTTGAAGCAAGGCAAACACAGATGTGATCTGGGACAGATCTGGAAGATCAGACACGGTGGTGACCTGTCCGGGAAGTCGATGGAAGTGATATAGCAGCAAGTAGGTTCCTAGAGTATCTGGTTTTGAGCTGGACTGCAAGACAGAGATTTGGGGAATAGAACCCCTTGGAAAATGAACTATTATTCAGGGTGGTTCTGTGCTTAGAGGGAGGGATTTGGAGACTAAGAATGGTTGAAGAAGAATCAGGCAGAATTTTCTTTAAAGATTTATTTATCTTCATGCATACAAGAACTGCGGTGTAAGCCAGAGGTGTGAGGGGTGAGAGGATTCACCAGAGAAAGTGGGGAGCAGAATAGGCAGATGTACTGAAATACACTGCTGAGGGGAGCAGCAGGCGAGACAGACGAGGTCTGCTGCGCCATGTGGGTTAGCTCCCCGGCCGGCTGGGGATAGACTTGTGCTGCAGAGGCTGGCAGTAACTTGATAACGTTGTCTTTAATCCCTGTGCCAGGCAGGCAGAAATTGAGCAGAAAGTCTATTGTTCCATTGGACTCATCACACCACATAGAAACAGTTACTATTGTGTCTACATCCACATGGACACACCTTTGGGGCACTGGACTCCTGGACTAGTTAAGAGTGATGCTTGAGTTCTGCAGTTGGACCTTGTATTTCCTGACCATGTATTTTAGAACATAGTAAATTTGAGCGAAATATAAACTTTGTTATTCATTAAAGAGTTTGACACCTGAAATGATGGGTTAGAGACCATTTTCAAACAAAGCAATTAAAATTATAGTACTTAGAATAACCAAGATTGTAGGTTTTCTTATGCGTATGACTTACAAATCATACAAAAGTCACTTAGTTTTCCAGCATGGACACTGGATCTCTTTCTACCTTCAGAACTCTTTGGGTATATAGGGCACTTTCCTAATTGGTCAGCCCTCTACTACATAATGAAGTGCTTGGAATGCTTGTTGAGGAAGAAGACTAGCTTAGACTAGTTCTTATTCAGAGTTCATCCCAGGACAGAATTCCTTGTTACAAATGTGGCTTGGTCATCCCTCCTGGGAATTCTTGCTTCCCACATCCCTTTTCCAGTTGGCTCTCAGAAAAGGAAGGTCAACCGTATTTAGACAGAGCTTCAGTAGCTGGCTTAGCATTTTCTAAGGCCATCAGGAATGGCCTTACATTCTCTGGAAAACCTGGTGAGTATCTAAGTCTCCTATTTTAGATCCAGGTGCTTGCCACTGGGTTTTCATGGTGACTCCAAATTAGGAGATGGTGCCAAAACTCTTAGTTGATTCAGGAGCCATTGTGAGCGGGTCAGGGACTTCTCCACACTCTGCTTTCTCTGGGCATCTTTAGAGTCTTCCTCTAGATTCAAATAGCTCTAAGATTCTTGGGCCAAGACATTGCTCGAATCCAAATATAAATAGTGGGGACAGCAGCTGTAGCTTTGCAAGCCACAGACACCAACATCTTTCTTCTTAGCTAATTCCAAGGGGGATCACACTGCTTTGGCCTCTGGTGGCCCCATTCATTTGGGACTTGGGGTGGGGTGATCAGGTTTGGGAATATTCCTATAACTGGGCAAGGACAGAAGTAGATGGGGAAAGAGAGAAGTAAGGGCCACTGTTTTGCAATCCTGATGGATGGCAATCATACACAGAGGTCACGGAGCAGGGCTAAGGAGCCAGGAGTACAGAAAGCAGTGGAAATAGCCAAACTGCAGGTGGGTCATTAATTGACGTCAGGCTGCCTATGGTGCCTGGAGCAGGAGAGCAGGAGCATCCTGGGACTCTCAGAAAAGAGTTCCATGGGCAAGCATTCACCTGTGGCTGCCGCTTTGACAGGCCCAGCTCTGATCACAGGTTTTCTTGAAGAATGATAACCCCACACTCATCACTTCACTTTTCTCCACTTTTTTTTTTTTTTCATCTAAAAAATGAGGGGACTGCACTGGAAAGTCTGTAACTCTTATGTCTATTGCCTCCTACCTAGAAGTTGATTTTAACTCTAGATCTCAGCCTGCATGATAAAAAGATGTTCTCTAGTGTTTTACATTTGGCTTTTTAGTTTCTGTAAACGTGTACATGGTTTTTTAAAGCCATCTTTTAAAAAATAATATCATGTAAGTTATTACCTTTATTTCACAAATGAAGACATTTACACTGTAAGGTTAAGTTACTTATACATGGTTACCCACTTAGCAAGTAATGGGATCACATTAGAACTGACGCCTGCCAATGTGTCTATGTTTTATGATTTTTTCTCTCCCACATAGAATAAGCAGTGCTGATGAATGATCAAATAAGAGAGGTGATCAAAGGGTGGGTCAGAAGTTGGAGAGGAGAACAGGACAGGTTTGAATGAAGTCTGTGACTTCACATCACAGAGTAAAGGAAGAGGAGAGAGAGGCAAATATGGTAATGAGATAATAAATTTTAATGTCCAATTAATAAGGAAACAGAAGAAAATATAGAAAACATGAAAAATTCTGTTTATAATGGTTAAGGAAAAGAAAATGAGCAAAAAAAATACATGTAAGAACCACAGGTGGTATTGCCCATGAATGGGCAAAGTGAGGAGCTATTAGGTGGAAACAGGCCATCAAATTCAAGATGGCCCAGGCAACACTTGCACGTCTGCAGATTTTTCTAGAGATTATAAATGACCTTGCAAAGTCTTTCAGAGATTTTCCATATAACAAGAAAGAAGCCATTAGCACAAAGTGTGTTTATCACAGGATTCTGTTACAGATGGAATAGAAAGCAGCAACCATATCAGTTTATTTTTCTTTTTATTTTTGGAAGATCTGTGGTTTCAAAGCTTCTGTATGATTATCAGTTACGTGTTAAGATTGCATGTTCGATTTTGCTTTTGGAGAAAATATAATCACTGTAATTATATTATACCTTCTCTTACTGAGAGATAGCATCTTAATTCAAGTGTCAAAAGAGATAAATCACATATTTTCTATTTAAATAAAGCTTCAAGCTGTGTGTTGGAAAAAGAGATGAAGGAAATAAGCAAAGAAATATATACCAGGACGATGGGTGAAATAAACATATGAGGCAAATTGATCATACTTTCAGCACCCTGAAATTTCAAGAGCTCACAATGGCTCCTGAATCAACTAAGAGTTTTGGCACCATCACCAACTCAAGGATGAGTTTCCAGGAAAGATGACTCCAGGATAAGGGTGGAAGATCCAAAAGTATTTGGCATGCTCCGAATGGGAGAAAATGTTCATGTATTATACAACCAGCAAGGGGTTAATAGCCAAGAGATACAAAAACTTTTTCAACTTAACAATTAAAAAGTTCAATTAATAAATGGAAAGCAGATCTCAGCAGACAACACACCAAAGAGGATATCCAGAAGACCAAGAGATACATGAAAAAATGTTCATCATCACTTTTTTAATGAGAGATGCAAGTCAAACAAGCAGTGAAATTTCATCTCACACCTGGGAGATGGGTACATATTCAGAAGACCCCCCAACAAGTGCTTGAGAGGATGTGGAGAAAGAGGAACCTTGGGGATGTGAACTGGTACGCCATTATGGAAAGCAATCTGGATTTGCCATAAAAAACTGAAAATGGAGGGACCTGCCTGGTGGCACAGCGGTTAAAGTTTCAGTGCTATCAAGCTATCACCAGCCACTGCTGCATGAGTTCTATCGCTGGCCAGGGAGCTAACCCACACGGCGCAGCAGACCTCTCCTGTCTTGCCCGCTGCTCCCTTCAGTAGCGCATTTCAGTGGATCTGCCTATTCAGCTCCCCGCTCTGTCTCTGGTGAATCCTCTCACCCCCACACCTCTAGCCTACAATCCAGTTCTTGAGTACATAAGTAAATAAAAATAAATCTTAAAAAAAACCTAAAAATGGAAATACTGCATAACCTAGCAATCCCACTGTTGGGCATCTATCTGAACATGAAATCCACTCAAAAAATTATATGCTCTACAATTTTATTGCCACATTATTTACAATAGCAGGACATGGAAACAGCTTAAGTGCCACTGATAGAGGACTGGATCAAGAAGATGGGGCATACCACACAATGGAATGTATTTAGCCATAAGGAAAATGAAGTATTACTATTTATAGCAAAATGGAAGGAGTTTGAGGGAATTATGTGTAGTAAAGCAAGTCAAAATGATAAGACAAATACTGGATGTTTACATAGCAGGCAATTGTATGAAGCTAAATGCTCATAAAAACATAAATTTATAAAAACCTGTATAAACAAGTGAGGTTTCTGAGATAAGAGGAAGAAGGGAGATAGAGAAGGTCAAAGAGGAATAGGGATGGTAATGAGAAAAGAAAAGATTATTCTAGGATGAAAAAAAAAAAAAAACCCAAAGCATCTGGCAATAGAATATATATCATCAGCAAAAAATAAAGCCATGGAGACTACAGAGCAAAGATAGATTGCCCAGATTAGGTTTGGGGAAACGCACACTCTAGAAAGGAATGGAGAAAGTGCAGTGGTGAACTTGACCATTGTGACTTTTACTGGGGCTGAGAGGTGGGGTCGGGGCGGGACGGGGGCAGTGAAGAGTGGGTAAGACTGAAGGTGGGAGAAAAAGGAGAATTAAAAGAAAATTTGTCTTCGGGACTCTCATCAGGCCTTGGTCTTTCTGTTGTAGTTCTCCTAAAGCAGTAGCTGATAAAGACTTGTGGTGAGTGGTAGTGAGTGGTTCTCACTGGGAGGCAGTGTGGCAGAGGCTGCACCCAGTGTCTGCTGTCAGCAGCCTCAGGTCAGGCCCAGACCTGTCACCTGCGTGGCGGTGGGACCTTGGGAGACAGCTCACTGACAATCACTTCACCAACTCGCAGCATTTTCTCATTTATTTCCCTGCCCTTAGAATATATAAAGTGGGGATGGTAATGCAGAACCACAGTGCTAAAACCTAAAGAACTTTGAAAAACACAAGAGTTTTCACAAATTTATTGGCAAAACTGGAGCTGAATGGATCCGAGACTACTCATGGTTCATTTTTGCTGCCTAGTATGAATTTTTATAGATTTCACTGCAGAAATATTAATGTTTGATTATAGGGTACCACCTCATACCCCACTTGGGGTGTCATACATGTGCAACTGTTACCTTTTTAAAAATCTGAAAAATTCCAAATGCTAAGACACATTTGACTCCAAGGATGGTTGGATGTATAGTTCCTACTTCACAGGGTTACTATAAGGATGAAATTGGTAATTCATAAAACACTTCAAAGAGTGCCTGCCAAGTCTTACTAATACGTGGCATAATATGTATTATAATGTTGGTTATTTTTATTACTATACTGTGTCCTTTCTAAAGGCCCATTCTGTAGAAAGTTGTGAATTAAGGAACTGCCCAAATCACAAGTGTACCAATTTATGCACATGTTTATGTGCATATTAAATTAGTTTATGTGCATAAATTTATGTGCATAAATGAGTACACAAATGTCCTAATTTGTGTGCATGTTAGGGGTTCTGATTTGAGCCCACGCTCTGGGTACACTAGGTTTGGGGAACACCTGAGGACTGGTGAAGGTGAGGGGGGTACTTGGCAGGGTTACAGAAACAGAGGAGCCTTCTTGGAAGGCTTGCAAAAAGAAACACAGAGGGATAAAAAGAGAGCTAAGGGACATGGCTGGGTTGGAAGGCCATGGGCCTGCATTGAGAGCAGCCAGAGAGTAACAGAGTATCTCTGCCTCAGTGCCTCCAGATTCCCATGGCCGCCTGGCCGAGTCCCAGCACAAGGGGATTATAAGGAAAGAGCTAGTTACCATTAGTGCTGGTGACTCAGCATCCAGCTGGGAACATCTGCTATAGGAGTCAGCTCTTTGTAGTGCCTGACTCTGGCTCAGACAGGGCACATGCTCTTGCAGCTGCTGGATAAAGGTGGGAGCAAGTGTGCCCTGCACCAGCGGCACTTCCTGTGGGCATTGGTGGGCTGGCCACCCTTTGCACATCTACAGAGACCATAGGAGGCTAGGCGGAGTTTGATGAGAACAGTGGACAAGAGGAAGCAAGGAAACGTTAAGTAAACACTGATGTGACTCTGTGCTCCCAGTCTGCTGTGATCTGGGAAATGAAGGCTTCAGATAGAAAGTAGTAAAATAAACAAAAGAAAGGACAAGAAATAGTTGTTAAAGGTAAACTATGATGTTTGAGTTGTGATTAAGTTGCTCTCAAATCTGTGCTTCTCTCAATCTGGGATGTACAGTGACACCTTGGGGCCTCCACCTCCCCCAGACTATCAGGAAAGATGGGCTGATAGACAAGACTTTCAAGATCATAAGGTGAGTGCAAGGACAGGGAATTTTCCAGTTCATATGGTGCCATTTGTATTTCACCCAAGTAAGGCAGATGCCATTTCAAATATGATTTTCTTGACCTAATGTTCTTTTCTTGCCAAGATTAAGGGTGGATCGACTTTAATTGCAACACAGACCCTGTCAATGGTAATTTGGGATTATGTTAACACTCTTAAATGCTTAATGATGAATGAGTCATACAGTCATACGTCAGGCTCTGACAAAAGGCTTCCCTTTTTAAACAAGAGGTGCCTGATTCTGGTGCATTATTATTTTCTGGAGCTTAACACCAGGATAAGTGGATTTAGGACGTTAATCCCTGTTTTATTTTAATTCCTTGTAATAAATTTTGGACCTTTCTCCCTTTTCTCACTGCACTTTCACATGTTGTCCTACAGACATAAAAAACAAGAAAACTCTTCTTACTTTGGTAATGAGAAATTTCTGCAAGAAAACTCTCTGTTGCAAGAACTTTGATACTGTAATATAAAGAAGGGAAGAACTGACATTTTCTGCAAAAGGATTTATTGGGGGTGATTTTATCAAGGAAATATTCCAGGAACCTGAATCCTGTGGATTCAGGCAGACAGGACTTGTGGAGGGTTAAGGGAAACTGATGGCGTGTAGGAACAAGGATCTAACCCTAGAGGAATTGGAAATTACCCAGGTCTCATCTGAAACTGCAGAAAGACTGTGTTGAAAATAAAGTGGTTGCCAGGGCTGTGACACTGGGGTTTGCATGGATATGAGAGCTTGGCTGGATTCTGAAGGCAAAAGAAACTCCAGACTGAGGTTTTCTGGTAGGGCATCTGCCTAGGTGCTCCAGAGGATGATGACCGTGATGATGGAGGTGGCCATGAAGAGCAAGTAGAGGCGGAAGAGCAGGGCATCCATCATGTGGCTGAACTGCACCCACAGGATGACCAAGTGCTGCTTCTGAGCCTCATCTTCCTGCTGGGCCCTTGTTGACCCAGGATGCCCGTTTACCTCTGCCTCCCTGGGACCTGGCACCTTCCCCACCAACTCCACAGGCTCCTTCACACCTTCAGAGAGAGAGAGAGAGAGAGACTCAGCCTTGGGCTGGGAGGCTCACCCACTTGGGGAGGAAGGGAAACAGGAAAGGATGCAGGAACAGAGAAGTGGAGGTACTGGGAGATGAGGGTGGGCCGGGCTGATTTCCCTTACCAGGCAGGTGGGCAGGAGTGCGGCCCAGGCTCCTGTTTCCCTGCTGGGGCCTAGTGGGGCAGCACTTCAGTGGGCGGGCGCAGTGGAGGATCAGAGAGTGGAGCCAGCAAGGCATGGGTGGGGGCTGGGTGGTGGCCAGGTGCAGCAGGTAGGTGATGAAGATGGTCTCCAGCAGGCTGACCACCATCAGGGACAGACACAGGGCAAAGTAGACACCTAGAGGGAAGGAGGCCCCACATGAAGGCCAAAGGTACCACCCATGACTTCTTGCTTCCTCTTTACCCAGAGGGGCCTTTATCAGGATCCTTTTCACTCTGGCTTGCTTCCAGAGGTCTGTCCCCCTGGCCCACCTCCCCACCTTGCTTTTATTCTGCTATGGAGAGAGGTGCCATACTGATGAGCGGGGTGCCAGTGTCAGGCAGTAAGTCGTTCATCATGAGCAGGAAGACGTTGTAGCCCAGTAGAAGGGTTATCTTGAATGGGGCACGATTCTGGTTTTCTGCCGGGAGGTAGAAGCTGAGGGCGTCGATGGCAACCAGAAAGCCACTGGGCACCAGGAGGTTTAGGACATAGAGGCTGGGCCTGCGCCTGATGGCCACCTGGTAAGAAGAAAGGTGGGGGTAGGGGTCAGGTAGGGAATAGGGTAGAGTTAAAGGCAACAATTGAGATTTGTCCCAGAGCAAACTGTTTAGTAAGGAAACATCACCCAGCTCCGTGCCCTGCCTTTCCAGGGTTTATTTCTGCCATGCAGCTTACCAGTAAAATGTATCTCATTCTCTTGTGGCTCAAGCTGTCAACTTTGTTTAAAGTTGACACATGTGGTCTTATCAGGATGTGGGGCCAGATCTTTAGATATCATGTGCACATTGGTTCTTCTGCAGCTTTCCTCATCAAGGGCCAATCTCTAGTGACTTAGTGGCAGATATTCAAGAGAAGTGGTAGGGAAGCAAGACTGGCAGTCAGGAGGGGTCACCAAAATTTAGAATCTAAATTTTAAATTTAGCTATTCACCACCTTTATGAGAAATAAGTATAAAAATTCCTGTCCTCCCAAAAGTTCTGATAGCAATGGGGGGTGGGAGACATGCTCACTGCTGTGCAGTTTTACTTCTTCCTCTGGGAGGACTTTTTCACGCAGTCTTCACTGAGTGTGAGCTAATGTACCTAACCTAATGGTAGGACCTAAGTGGGGATTTATCTGTGAAAAAGAGTGATGAAAATTCCTGCCTTCGTGGAGCTTACTTTCTTGGGGGAGAGCTTACATTCGAATGGGCATCGTAAGCAATGAATCTTCAAAAAAGAGCTTAACCGTGGCCCCTGAGCTCACATAGAAAATGATTTGGTCATACTGGTTGGCGCCCACATTCATCCTCGTGGTTGTTTGGTAGATGCCCAGAAGTACCCATGCCCCCTCGCTCCGAATGAGGTTCTGTGATGTCATTGAAATCTCTTGTATTTCCTTCTCCAAACCCAGGACTATCTTCTCCACTGCAAAGGAGAACCAGACGATTCAGCCTCCCCAAATGCTCCCACCCCCCCAGTCCAGACTGTTAGGTTCTCTGCCATGAGCTTCTCCACCCTTTCCAAAGAGATTCCCTCACTGTTCCCGGCTCTCTATCCTCTTCTCTTTAAAACCCTTCCTCTGCCTCTCAACAGGCTACTCTAATGAGCCTCTCTCACCTGTGTAGATGAAAGAGCTGAAGGTAAGCGTGCAATTCTGTTCATCAAAGGGGAAATAGAAGATGTCCAAGTTACAGAGGCTGACCACCCTCATCGGCTTATCATATTTGATGCGACCTTCATTACTGACGTAAGCCATGAGGCCTCTGGGTGTCTGATCCACATCCATGCTGTATGTAAGAAGGACAGGGAGGTGGGTGCTGTGGGATTTTCCATCAGACTTGGTCTTTTTTTTTTTTTTTTAGATTTATTTATTTATGCATACAAGAGCTGGGGTACAGGCCAGAGATGCAGGGGGTGAGAGGATTCCCCAGAGACAGAGTGGGGAACAGAACAGACAGACTGACTGAAATACACTGCTGAGGGGAGCAGCGGGCGAGTCAGGAGAGGTCTGCTGTGCCATGTGAGCAGCTCCGTGGCCGGGGATTGAACTTGTGCTGCAGAGGCTGCGGACAGCTTCATAGGTGGTGTTTTAACCCCTTGTGCCACCAGGGAGGTCCAGTTTGGTCTTTCTTCTCTCTAAGTTCACTTTCTTGTGCTTCACTCATAACTTCTCCCCTTCCAACTACCACCATGTTCTGGGGCTTTATAAGCTCCTCAGTTCAGATGCTGCTCTTCTCTAAGCTGTTTTTTTTTTTTCCCCCCTGTGGTCCCATTGATTACATCACACCCTTCTCTGCAGCCACAGTTTGCTCTTTGCTTTATTCAACCCTGGTACTCACAACTCCTCAATGAAGATATCAGGAAGCCATAAGTTCTCAGTTGCCATGCTGAGCTTCCTGATGCCCCCACATTCCTCTGGGTTCCACCGGATGAATGGGTTGTACCAGAACTAGAGGAAAACAGGGCATGGGACAAACAGGGGTGGGAACTAGTTTTGGTCTTGCTCTGTCTCCTGTACCTTCCATGCCTTTTTTCACTCCCCATTCCTTCTCTGGTGACAGTTATCGCAATGCCACTAACCAGGTCTTACTTGTTTCCGCTTCTCTCTCCGTGTTCTTGGGGGAGACCTTGAGCTTGGTTTTGGGTTCCCTGGGATGGAACCACTTAATTATTTACTTCTATGACCTTGGTTTATGCCTCATGCCTCCTTCTCCCCATGCCCTGTCTCTGCCCTCCTCAACTTGTGGAATAATTAGGAAGTATTGTGTTGGTCTGGCCGTCTCTGAGCTTGTCTAGTTTGTGGGTATTCGTAGCTTTACCCATTGTAACCTGCAAAGTTGGCCCCAAGCAAGGAAAAGCCATAATAAAGGGGAAATGGAGTCTGCCATACCATATTTAGCCACAGGAACGACGTCATCAGTTGAAGCTGTGCATCCTAGAAAACAAGTTTCATCCAGCATCATTAATTCCTTGTAGTCAGGCTCGATGCCAGCATCCACCTCTCACTCTTTTCCAAGGCTGTTTGATATGGCAATTACAATTTTAATCACGAGGCACTGAAAAATGTAGGTTACATGATCCAGGTACATGAACGATGTCAGTGAAAAAAAACCACAAGAAAGTTCGCTGGAATTGTGTTTCCAGTGGAGTATTCCAAAAGGGACTTTACATGCAGTGATGTCATTGAAGCCTTCCCTGTCAGGTCTCCCCACCCCTTACAGTGAGCTCTTACCTTTACAAAATCCATTCAGGGCTCACCACTAAGTGGTTTTGTGCCAGCACTTACCACTTCCAGGATGGCAGACAGGGTGAAAGAAATGTTAACGTGAGTGGGGATGCTATAGTTGATGAATGGTCGGAAGGCCTTTCTGTCAAACACTGCTTGGAAGGCAGCAGGATCCACTCCATGCTGGTCAAAACCTGAGCAATTGATGGTAAAAGTGTCCCCGCTCCCTGTAGAAGGCAGAGAGTCTGAGAGGAGTGTGATGGCTGGGGCCTGGAGATTGTCTGCATAGGGACAAAACAGGGGGCACTGGGAGAAGCATGTAAGCTCCTCCTTCCCAGGCCGGGGAGCGTGGGCTGGGCTGGTAGGCAAATGTGGAAACTGCTGAGGTGAGCTGAATCAGGTCTCCATCCTTAATTCCATTGTTTCTGTCCCCATGCAAAACTTGTCCAAATGTGAATGCAAACTCAGCCCTGACCACCACTTTTCAGCGTCCTGCTACATTCTTAACTATCTCACCGTAGACCTCTCTACCTTTAGGCAATGTCCTTCCATTGCTCACCTCTGTCCTTGAGTCATCTGGGTGATGTCCATGGCAAATTTTTCAATCACAGTTCTCTTGCTCACTATATTAATTAAATAATTAATGTAACTAATTATATTAATTATATAATTATTATAGTTCTCTTGCTCACTATATTAATAAGGTGATCACAAATTAATGATTGGGTAAATAGTCAGATAGGTGGTGTGAGATATCTGGGACCTTGAAGGCAGAACCCAGTTTTTCAATGTAATGAGTATTTCTATGTCTCTACCATATGCTGTGATTGTTGTCTTCTAAAGTGCCTTAGTTATCACCACTCGACTATCTTAAAGGGAGTTCCTCAATACCCACCTTCTACCTAGCCTCTTTGTGGTCATACTTGAAAGAATTAACGTGGTACCATCTTTTAGTAGAACCTATTTTTACCTATCTCAGAGAATGTACCATCACTCATTGCTCATTTTCAATAATGAACAATAAAAACCTAATTTGAGAAAATGTGCTGGAAAAGGTTCTCTTTCTCATCCTCCCAATAGCTTCCTTGTTTCATTTGCTAGTTTCAAGAGAGCTGAGAAAGAATTTTCTTCTTTACATCAATTGATAGTCAAAAACCAAGGGGATAGATAATGTGCCTGAAAAGAGAAAGACATGGGAAAGAAGAGGCAAAAGAAGCATGGAGAGGGCCTCCCCTGGTGGCGCAGCAGTTGAGCGCTGGGCTGCGAAGCTGCTGCAGCCTCTGCAGCGCCAGTTCAATCCCTGGTTGCTGGTGAGGGTCTCACATGGCGTGCAGACCTCTCCTGCCCCTCCCACTGCTCCCCTCAGCAGTGTATTTCCTCGTTCTGCCTGTTCTGTTCCCCGCTCTGGCTCTGGTGAATTCTCTCACTCTCCTGCGCTTCTGACTGTACCCAGTGCTTGTATAAAAAAGAAAAAAAAGAAAAAAAAAGAAGCATGGGGAGTGGAGAAGCAGCTGGAGAAGAGTCAACTGAGGTCAGGATCTTAGAAAAAGGTACAAAGCTGTCAGTGTCTGAGTTTCCATTTTTACCCAAATGAGTACCCTGTCATTGTCTGTCTAGGTCTAACAAGAATGAACCTAGTTTCTGTTTCCAGATGTCACATGTCTTCATCTTAGTCTTGTCCCATCTTACCTTGAAGCAGCAGGTGGAGAATGAAACAGAAGAGGTGTCCTTCCCCAGGAAGCCAACCTCTTTCCATCTTCCTTTACTTGGTTCTTCTATAGGGATTTAGGGATGATATTGGTCTTAAAAGACCACAGGCCACACCTTGTGCCCTGGCTTTGAATAATACAGGTGTCAGATGGCTCTAACCACCTCTAATAGGCATCCCTGGTGACAAGAGAATCACAAAAACTACCTCGTTCTTTGCTTTCACTGGGCCTGAATCTAATCTCCGAAAGGAATCTGGCAAATCAGTTTGGAGAGGAGGGAGTAAAAATATTTGGTCACTGGAGCAATGCTAATGGCCTCCTCATACTTTAGAGCCACTCTGGCATGTAATGCATGATAGAAAGGGCACATGATGACTGCATTGCATGAGAGAGGCACAGGCACTTATTTTAACCTTGCTTCCATCTCCCCCTAAATTGGAGGTCTCTTGTTTTATAATACACTTCAAGCTCTGAGGTTTTAACATGATTTTGCTACTGTTGAATCTTAACTTTTGATTTTTGGACTGTGTCCAAAGCAATTTGGACTTAGGTCTATTGAAGGGAGGAAGTGGTTAGTAGGACAGAGGGGAGGTAGCAGAGGTAATACTGGCTTTAGTAGAAGTTGATTTATGAGATCCTGAGCTAGCAGCCTACAAGTTTATGTTGCTTTTGACCCTGCTAGTGCTTTAAAGAAATTAGCTGTTCACAGGTTAAAAATTGGGACATTTCATGTAAAAATAGTTTCTGGCTTCATTTGAAAAATAAAATCAAACAATAATGGGCTCACATTTCCACTTAACAGTTGAATGGGGACTATAACCAAGACGAAAATGCATACATTGTGCAAAAATGAAAAATGGTGTAAAAATATATATAATTAAAAAATAATAATAATAATAAAGAAAAACTAAGAAATAGTTAAGCCCTTTGAATGGAGCATATTCTCTCTAAATTATACCAGTCTCTGTCATCAACAAGAAGTTCTGTCTTATTCCCCACCAGCTCCTCCCATTTATGTTACTTCTTGGTCTTGGTAGATGTTTGAGTTTGCCTTTGAGTATTAAAATTGCTTTTCTTGTGTGAGGCTTAAGAAGTCTTGGGAAGTAATTTAAAAATATCATGTTATAGGTCTGGTCAGATTCAGAGTACGCAAGTATTTGGTTCATGGTGGAAACCAGACATAGTATGGCAAATGGACCCAAGTCACCCGTGACTTAACCTGTTTTATTATAGAATTATTTTGGTTGGGGAAGTTTCCAGAGAGAGTAATCACTGGCTGAAAGAACAAAGAAGAGCACTGCTTCAATGAAGATGTTTTCCAGACTGAGTTGGTATGATGCAGTCAGAAAGATCTAAAGACTAGGGCCTCCCCGGTGGCGCAGCGGTTGAGCGCTGGGTTGCGAAGCTGCCCGCGGCCTCTGCGGCGCCGGTTCGATCCCCGGCTGCTCCCCGGCCACCAGAGGAGGGTCCCACATGGCGCGCAGACCTCTCCTGCCGCCCGCTGCTCCCCTCAGCAGTGTACTTCGGTCCTTCTGCCTGCTCTGCTCCCCGCTCTGGCTCTGGTGAATTCTCTCACCCTCCCGCGCTTCTGACTGTACCCAGTGCATGTATAAACAAAACAAACAAACAAACCAGCAAACAAATAAATAAAGCATGCCTCTATTAAAAAAAAAAAAAAAAAAAAAGAAAGATCTAAAGACTAAATCCTGTTTCTACTAGAATCACATCAACAACTTTTGGCTTCAGTTTCCTCCGCTCTCCAATTAGAAGGATAAAACCTCTTTCAGAGATTTTTATGTGGTTAAAGATAATATATGTATGAGGTCTTCCCCATAAAAAGCAGTTAATAAAACTGAAGCAGAAATAACAGTAAAAATGGCAGTAATAGTCATTATTGTTATCCTGGCTTGCCTACAATTGCCTGGATTGCTTCATCCAGAACGGAATTTTCTGGACTTAAAATGTCTGGTGACTGAAGACACCCCCATTCCAGTGAGCAGCATTAGATAGAGATAACTATCATCCCTCAGCATCTCCTCAGCATCACTCTGCCTCATTTGAAAATACCTTCCCTTCTAGGAAAGTTTTTTTCTTTTTTAAAGATTTATTTATTTATGCATACAAGAACCGGGGTACAGGCCAGAGGTGTGGGGGGTGAGAGGATTCACCAGAAACAAAGGGGGGGGGGAAGCAGAACAATCAGATCTACTGAAATACACTGCTGAGAGGCGCAGCGGGCGAGTCAGGAGAGGTCTGCTGTGCCATGTGGGTCACCTCCCTGGCCAGGGCTCAAACTTGTGCTACAGTGGCTGCTGACTGCTTCATAGTGTTGCTGTCTTAACCCTTTTTGCCACCAGCGAGGCCCCTTTTTCTTTTTTTAAAGGTAGGTTAAGTCAGCATTACTCAAAGTCTTTTCTTCTTCCTTTTTTTTTTTTTAATTGAGGTAATATTGGTTTACAACACTGTATATAATTCAGAGGTACAACACTGTATATAATTTCCTACCTCTTCAGATGTATGTTTCCTCTCCACACCCACCACCAAAAACCCATAGTCCTCCACCATAGTCCATTGGACCCCTCCACATCTTGCTCTCTTAATCTCCCCCTGCTCCCACCATTACCACCCTGTAGCCACAATTCTACAGTCAGGTTTATTTAGGGTTTGTTATTAGTTTATTCAAAGTATTTTCTGCAGAATACTAGTTCTGTAGGATGTTGAATGCTGCTTCTAAAAAAATATTTTTGTAGGGCGTCCCTGGTGGCACAGTGGTTGAGCGCTGGGTTGGGATGCTGCCTGCAGCCTCTGCAGCGCCGGTTCGATCCCTGGCCGCCGGGTGAGGGTCCCACATGGCGCGCAGACCTCTCCTGCCGCCCGCTGCTCCCCTCAGCAGTGTACTTCGGTCCTTCTGCCTGCTCTGCTCTCTGCTCTGCCTCTGGTGAATTCTCTCACCCTCCCATGCTTCTGACTGTACCCAGTGCTTGTATAAATGAATAAATAAATCTTTAAAAAAATAAAAAATTATTTTTGTAATTTCAAGTTCTAAGAAGTCTGAGAAATGTTAAACATGTCTAAACATATTTTATTATTGCAGGATTTCTCAGAGTATTTAGCCAGAATGTTAATACGACTTGAATATCATATGTATAATTTCCCAAATTAAGTTGACTTTGGAAATTTCCATTTCTCAGAATATCTTGCAAGACGAGTACTCCATGGATTATTTGTGGGAAACACGACTTTAAGTAAATAAAATAAATTTGGGTGGAAAAAGCTTGAAAATTTTGTCCTAAGCTTGCTACAGATAGAATGTAGAATTCAAGCAACATTATGTATAAACAAACTGAGAACTTTAAAAAAGTAAACTAGATAAATATTTAAAAATCTGGAGTTTGGGTAGAACCTGAAGAGCCTACAAGTAAATAGAAAGTAAAATATGAATTTCAAGCTGTTTCTGAATCCCCGAGCAGTATAAATCTAGACTGACTGAAGGAGGAAGCTTTTTTTTTTTTCTCTTTTCCTTTAGATCAATGGCTTGTCAGCCACAGGCCCATGTTATCCATCTACACTGAATTTTAGGAAGAGAGTTTAAAAAGATGCTTTGATGGTATTACTTCTCAAAATGCTCAGTCAGTAACATTTTAATAGCTGAGAGTGCTGCTGCTCTTTCTCATTGGTGGTCTTATAATCAGTGAAGTATCTTATTTGTGCTTTAAGAATACCTATTTTTTTCATTTTGGAACTTAACAAATGAATAATTTTGAATCAAAATAAATACAGTCTACAGAGTTTCCACCCCTCCACCACCTCCCTGAACTGACATCCTTGCCAAAAAGTTTATCAATGTAGACCAAAGGGTTTGTTTTTTTTTTGTTTGTTTGTTTTTTTGGTCTCTTCTGATCAAAAGCCCATATTAATAATGCAAAAACTTGAGCAGTTTGGGAAAATGACTGGGAATGGCCATTCTCCAGCCTGCCTAGGCTTTTTGAGCAAGAAGACTCCCTGAGCCAGGTCTATTGTTTTGGGCGTTTTCAGCTTAGCAGGATCCCACAACCTCCTGTCTGTGGCCAGACAGGAGTCCTGGCCATACCTTTCAGCAATGTGGGAGAATCTTTCATGTACATTTTACCCTTAGAGATGGTAGATATCCTGTATCTGTTTTATTCAGTTGAGTAAGTTATCCTTAATTGTCATTCTGGGAGGATTTAAATCCCATGTCTGTCTATGGGCTGTGATGCGTGTTATTTTAACTGAGTCGATTTAGAGGGTGGTTTCAGGTGAAGGGAACAGCTAGAGTCAAAACATGGAAATTATAGTGCTGTCAGGACCTCAAATTTGAGTAAGAGTGGCAGGAAATGAAGCTGTGGTTTTATGTGGGGCAAGATCACGGAAGGTCCTGTATACCAAGCTAAAGTTTGGTTTATTTCTCTTAGCCTGCTGTTTCCTAAACTGGAATAAGTTCAGACTTCTTTTAAGTCTTCTCCTAAACCCCTGATGCTAACTTATACATATTGCTTCAATATGTGTGTTCATAAAACCATGCATAAAGTTCTTATGCTTATGCTTTTATAACACTATAAAGTTAAAATAAATTTATAAGTGATGTGCACACAAGACTACAGAATCAACACAATACTAATTTAATGTGATGGATAATATTGTTTTGCTAAAATTAGATCATTGCTATCAATTTTCCCTCTTCTTGAACAAGGAGCTGACTTTTAAGCCCCTGTTATTTGGTTGGCTAACTTGATAGTACATCTCAATATGACAGTACTTTAAATTTTTTAAAGCAATTCCTCATTTTATTCAACTACTATCCTTACCACTAATGAATTTGGGAAATTGTTATAACAAAAGTGGAAAGTGTGTAACCCTTTATTTCCTAAAGCGAATATTTGATATGATTTATCATAATGTGGCTAGACAGCTGTGCATTGTCTGAACACAGCTTCTCTGCCTGCAGTTCTCTAATGAAAATACTGAGTGATACCTTTGTCTAACATGCTATGATGTGATTTGACATTGGCTGTTTACATCTTAAATC